ACATATTTATCATTTTTTCATGTGTGTTTTTAAAATAAGTAATCATGCAATCTCATGGATTTCTCAAACCACAGGTCGAGATGACATGAGAGCAGACTGCATTTTGTATTATGGCTTTGGAGATATATTCAGAGTAAGTTCAATGGTGGTCATGGAAAATGTGGGACAACAGAAGCTTTATGAGATGGTGTCATACTGCCAAAACATAAGCAAGTAAGCTTTTTWAAAAACATGTCTGTTTTAAAACTATTAAAGAAAAGCATGATATTAAATTGTACAATATTATTTGAATACTTACTAAGTAAATTGGTATTAATACCCAAATCTGTAGAATCAGATATTTGGAGGCAGGAACCAGTGTATCAACCTTCTAATAGATGCTCTATCTAAATTAATTGTTTAACTGAAGATTTTGATACACATTGACAATGAATTGAAGCCTTTTTCCTCTGGCAGTGTGGTGTAACAGCTACATGCTGTAATAATTTTGAAAAGGTGTATTGGCCAGGCATGGTGGTACATGCCTGTAATCCCAGTAGTCAGCAGGTTACAGTAGTAGGGTTGAAGGTTCAAAGCCAGCCTCAGCAATTTAGCAGGGCTCTAAGCAATTTAGCGTGACCCTGTCTCAAAATAAAAAAGGACTGTGATGTGGCTCACCAGTAAGCACCCCTGGGTTCAATCCCTGGTACCCATCCCCCCTAGGGAGGGGGGAGAAAGAAAGAAAGAAAAAAAAGAAAGGTATATGACAGGTATTTTGAGAGTGAAGCTCAGTAACGTGGGCCATTCTACCACCCAATGTGCAAAGGAAATAATTGAGGACAAGGTCATGTTTCACATTATGAAATAAATATAAATCTATTTAGGGTAAATTTGTTTAGACCATATAGTTTCCTGATGGTCTCTAGATCTTCATCCTCTTTGTACTTTTACTGCACACAGAAGGGCTCAAAAATGTTGAAATGGAGAATAGTAACCCAACGGTGATAGAATATAGCATTTTCTCTCATTGTATGCTATAGTAATCTAATTAAGAGAAATAAGAAAATGAAGATTTCTCTAAAGGTCCAGCAGACTTTCATGAAACGTATTTTGAGGTTTAGACTAAAACATCGATAATTTATTTATTTTTTATTTTTATTTATTTTTTAAACATCGATAATTTAAAATACAAGTAACTACTTTTCTGTCAAGAACATTTTCCTAGTAGTTCTAAAATACTGATCTCAAAACCAAACAGATAACTTCTTAAACATTACGTTCAAGAACATAATGAAAAAAAGCATAAAATATGTAGTAGGCAAAGTGGTCCCCCATCAATGGCCTTGTCCTAATCACTGCAACTCATGTCTTCCCTTACATGACAAAGGGGAAATAGGGATTAGTTTAGATCATATGGGCAGGTCCAGTGTAACTACAGAGGGCCTTCAAAGTGGAAGAGTTAGGCAGAGAGGTCAGATTGATGTGAAGGATTCAACCCACTATTGCTGGCTTTGAAGATGGAGGAAGGGGCCAGGCAGCCTCTAGAAACTGGAAAAGCAAGGGTACAAGTTTTCATCTAGAGCTTCCAGAAGAAATGCAGCTCTGTTGACACTTTCATTTTGACCCAGTGAGACCCGTGATAGATTTCTAATTTGTAGAAATGCAAGAATAATAGAATAGGTAACTATACTCTGAAGAGTGAGTTCTTTTTTTTTTTAATGTAAGAAAGGTACTGTACCAGTGTCACAGGTTTAAAGGGAGGCACATCTCAGGACAGTGCAGACACTTAGTCACCATACTTATGAACCAAAAAGGATCCTGAAATAGTAATTTTTAAAAACTTTATTATTAGATCATTTAATAATCCATACCTCTGAATTTGTTTGCAGATGTCGCCGTGTATTGATAGCTCAACATTTCGATGAAGTGTGGAATTCAGAAGCATGTAATAAAATGTGTGATAACTGCTGTAAAGAYATTTGTAAGTGTGTATTTTTAAACCTTTGTAGGCTAATGTATACAGCTAGGATTAAGTAAGGGAAGTATTAGACCCCCAATGGATTAAAAAGATAAAACAAGTTATGACTAGAATTTTCCAGATTCAAAAATGTCTTRAAGTAGGTAAATATGCACAATATAGCAATATAAGTATAGGACATGTGAAATTTTTAAAAAATAAGGCAAAATTTGATTCTTCTAAATAGAAATACTGTATATTTGAATGAGCTATGGGCTGGGGACATAGGTCAGTTGATAAAGTTACTTGTACAAGGCCCTGGGTTCAATCCCCAGCACCCCCCCCCTCCCCAACACACACACACATTAAAAAAAAGAATGAGCTAACCCTATGATAATCTCTAACATTTTGTAGTCACTGGGAAGAAAATATAGTGCAAACAGATTTTAGCGAAATGATGAACTACTCAGTAAGACACTAATTTAGTGGTGTCTTTTTTTCATTGTGTATGTATATATATGTTGTTCTTGAAAAGCTAAACTAATTAGTTCTTCATACAGAGCCTCATTTAGTTCTGATGCCTTGGGTGGAGGTCACTGCACTTTTAACTTTGCAGCTAAAGGCTGGGAATGTGGCTCAAGCGGTAGCGCGCTYGCCTGGCATGCGTGCGGCCCGGGTTCGATCCTCAGCACCACATGCCAACAAAGATGTTGTGTCCGCCAAGAACTAGAAAATAAATATTAAAAAAATTCTCTCTCTCTCTCTCTCTCTCTCCCCTCTCTCACTCTCTCTTTAAAAAAAAAAAAAAGTTATTTATGAGTTTATTAGATTATCTTAAACTGACCAAGTTAACAAAAATCTGATATTTTAGAGTGCCAGCCTTTTAACAGTTGGGAATATTTGTCCAGGACATTTTTGGCATAGGAACCCATATTAGTTTTTAGAAATTGGCTTAATGAACATGAATCAGATAAGTAAGTATGAGGAACAGACTTTCCTATAACATATACCTTTTAATAACTGTCTGGTGGACACTTTATGCTTTCTAGAGTACCGCTAGCCTGCTGATAACCAGGGTATTTTCTTTACATTACTATAAGTCCTACAATATGTTGGTCTAGTAATAGAGACTTGAGGAACAGCCTCATCTTAATTTAGAACACAGTAAAAAAAATAAATAATAATGTTTAAGAGTGGCTCACATTGATAACTAATTTTAAACCAGTTTAACCACTTAAGATATCCTATCCTTGCTCTCATTTTGAAATTCCAATTAGCTATAACCATGTCTCTTTCATTGTAGCATTTGAAAAAAAGAATATAACAGAGTACTGTAGAGATCTAATTAAGATCCTGAAACAGGCAGAAGAACTGAATGAAAAACTCACTCCGCTTAAACTGATTGATTCTTGGATGGGAAAGGGTGCATCAAAACTGAGAGTAGCGGGTGTGGTTGCTCCTGTACTTCCTCGTGAAGACCTGGAGAAAATCATTGCACACTTTCTTCTACAGCAGTATCTTAAGTATATACACACCCATTTCTTGTCCTTTCATGTTATCTTTATGTTTTTTTAAATTATAGTAGAATAAATGGCCTTGTAGTTATTCATGTCAACTTTAAAATGCTATAGAAAACAATTTACCTAATGAACAAACTCAAACCTTGATCAAAAAAGTACAAAACTATTTTTTATAAAGATTATATTTGTGCTCATATAGTACAATTGTGCTACTGTATTTTTATAAGTATTAGAAGTATTTTTATTATTTCATAGTTATTTAAAATTGTAGTTATTTCTTTTAAAAATTTCAGTTTGTGATTCTGTGAAGTTTTCTGATTGTTGGCCTTTATCTTCTGCAGAGAAGACTATAGTTTTACAGCTTATGCTACCATATCGTACTTGAAAATAGGACCTAAAGCTAATCTTCTGAACAGTGAAGCACATGTTATTACTATGCAAGTAAAGAAGCGCACACAGAGCGATTTCAAGGTAACTGACTGGCTACTTTCCATTTTTATGTGCTTAAAAATATATGAAAGCTTATGGGATGTTTKTCTGCATTTCTCTCCTGGGTTCTGGTGAATACAAGAAGAGAAAAATCATTTTCTTCTTAGATTCTGAGTTTGGAAGAGAGAGAGTGTAACTTTATTTTCTGTGGAGATATTAAGTAGAATAGACTGCCCAACATAGACTAGGAGTTTCCAACCTTTGGAATGTGAATTCCATTTTGAAGTCTAATTTTGGAGGCCCACTTCCCTCCTGATACTGGTTGTGATCAGCAATAGTTAGGAAATCTGTCTATGCTACTCCAGAGTTACAAACCCAATACTGTCAAGCCTGCAAAAGCATGCCAGGAACCACTGTGTCTCAGGACACCACCAGTTTTCTTTAGGTTTGTTTTAAGACAACATGGCCTCTTTAGATTAGGCTCAGATTGAGGAGAATTTTGGAGGTGAAAACTAGACTCCTGGATGAAGAATAAGCTAACTGATACATAAAGAATATTTTGAGATTATTAATCTCATGAGAAACTGAAAAGCTGAATTTTTACCAGGGTGCTTGCTTTGTTATTTTTTGTAGGTTGAGACATCTGAAGCTTATCATTCTGAACAAGCTGATAAAAAGGGGGAAGGGAAAACTTCAGGTAACTTCCAGAAGTCCACAAACACGCTTCAACAGTCTGGTTCTAAGAATACAGGGGCTAAGAAAAGAAAGATTGATGACGCCTGAAATAACTATTACGAATATTATGCATGTACACATTATTATTTTTGTAGTTAATAGTTTATTTTAACAACAATTTCACTGATACTTTATATAGAGAAAACTATTTTTAGAGCTTATCTTTGTGAAGATTTGAGAATTTGAGACCTTTCAATAATTAGGAATCAAGAATTATATAATTTTACTGGGACTGGGGTTGTGGCTCAGTAGTAGAGTGCTTGTCTCGCACATTTGAGGCACTGGGTTTAATCCTCAGCACCACATAAAAATAAATAAACAAAATAAAGATATTATACCCATGTATAACTAAAAAATATTTTAAAAGAATTATAATTTTACAATATAAAACAAGAAATACAAATAATTTTTATGCAAAATTTTACAAATACAAAATAACTGACAATAAATTCATCTGGCTTTCTTACAGTCTTTATGTGTTGGTATACCTAAGTGTATTTTTTTCTTTTGATGTAACTTTTTGATGGCACTATTAAACTGACACAGGCTCATCACTACAACTGAGTGATATTTTAAGCTGAATAATGTAAATGAATTCATCAGGTTATAAAAATATCTATAATTCAAAAAGAATAAGGCATCAATATAAATAATATTAGCAAATAAGTTACAGCTACATCTCTATTTCAGGGAAATGAAACTGTAAGCTTTCTTAAACTATATCCCTACTTTGACATTTTACAGTCAAAAATAGATCTGGTCTATTAGAATACATTTTGGCTAAATAGATAAGAACTTGGTTAAATATGCTCCCAAGCTAAATCGTAAGTAAAATGTTTAAGTTCAAAATATAAAAATGTGTAACTTAAGATTTCTTATATAATAAGGGGCCAATTTTGTGTTAGAAATATATCTATAAATAAATTATTTGAACTGATTTTGTCTTTAGAATTGTATTTAATACTTTTCCCACTAACATCATTATCACTTCTATATATAACTTCAGTGTGGCCATCATTAGATTATTGCAATGATTCACTTTACTGACTTCCAGTTTTCCTCATTTGGACCTTTATATGGTTCTTGAAGAAATTTCCATTTTAGTCAAAATAATCTTCTATATCAATATTTGGATCTAGAAGATCTTCTCCATATGATGAAAGATCCATTTGGTTTAGAATTAAATTTTCAAATGTTTCCTCTAAATCAGTTTCACCAATTAAGACAGCTCCCATCATTCGCCCATTTTGCATGACGACTTTGACGTATTCTTGTCCTTTGGTACACCTCAGCATTAATTCATGATCTGAACCTAAGCCCTGTGCATTGTATTTTCCCAACAATACAACCTGTATATGGGGATAAAAAAGTTTCTTGTGAGTACCTAATAGGAAATATAAAATTGTGCAGTTACTTTGGGTCAAGCTAGAATAGCCAGCAGAAAAACTGTTCAACAAAATTTTAGCTGAAAATGTCATTGGGGAGGATCCCAAAGAAAACATTCTAATGTGATGCATTTATTCTACATATAACACTACCACATAATCTGCACTAATATTAAAAGTATCAGTGAATATGTTAATGTATAGTATTAACATTAAAAGTGTCTAGAGAATATAAGGGGATGTACTTTATAATCTACATGAATATTAAAAATGTCTAGTGAAGAAATACATGATATGTGAACTATATTCGACTGGAGTCATTGTTTAAAGATTGAAAAAACTGAGAGCTTTCATGGACAAATTATTTAATCTCTCTGAGCCTTACAAATGTATTTTTCCTTATATATAAATTAGGAAGGTAAAGATCTGCTTTGGAGTGATGCAAAGAGAACTAAAATGAACCGGAGAAACTGGTTCATTATTGAGTATGACAGCTAACAGGTGAATCTCAAATAAAACTCAGAAATGTACAATAGGAAATAAATCTGGAGAGTTTTTTTTTTTTCCCCATCTTAACTGTAAAACAGTATAGTAACACGGTAATAATTAAGATTAGGAATTAAAAGCAATTCTAGACACTGACTGGCAAGAAAGAGAAAATGTCATTTTTGTAAAAATGACTGAAAACAAGTAAATTTTTGAGTAAGAAAATGAGATGATCAATCATATTTATGTACTAGATTAACAGAAAAGGCAATGATTTCCTTAATTATCTTACCTTATAGTTAAAAAATTTTGTTACATGAGCAAACAGTTCAAAGCTGAAATCCATGTCAATAGAGTCTCCCAAACTAGCCGCAGCCATGCATTTTGCAGCATACCATCCCATCTGTCTGGCCTGGGTCCACAACCTCATCTGAGACAATGAAAAAGTGTTATACATTTTTTAAAAATGTTATACATTTTAACATTTTTGAAAATGATATCATTTTAACCTGTACATTCCTTTAAAGAGGGTACAATGTTTGATAGTTTTTCAGATCAGTTGGTTCTGGCAGTTATCATCTTACTGAAGCAGTTACCTGAGTACTCCAATTAAACTGACTTAGGTAACTGTTAATTTAATCAATTTAGTGCCTCAAAAATTAAGATACTGGTAAACAGAAGACAACAATGAGTGGCAGGAACACGAAACTAAAGAGATAATTCTATAGATAGGACTATGTGCTGGCCCGCCACATGCTTTCTCTTAAAAAGCAAATGACCTGAGGACATTGTGGCCCTGCTCTGGCTTAAATCCATAGGACATATTACATTCCTCAGCAAACAACCTGTTATATGTGGAGCTGCTCTTTTAAGACTCTTGATTGTAAGATTCCTCACTGCTGAGATGAACACAAGTTACCCTGAGGGGGGACTTTCATGACCTTCATACAGACCAAAAATTCCAAGACTCGGGAAGATAGGCTTATTAAAAAGCAAAGCCCACTGACCATAAAATCTGCAAAATACAAGTTTCAATTAGAACTAGTCAGCACAGGCCAAGATGACCAAGAGTTGCCATTCAATCTTTAGCATGTAATTATAATGGTAAAATTCCCACCCTGTTCCAGGGATTTCACTTGGTTACCTGTGGGTAAGACCATGCATGGTAGGGATTTAAAAATTTGATGTAATCCTAATGTCAGTTAAGAATTGAGAGGCCGTAGGACAGGTCTCTTTAGAAAATTCCTTAAGACCTCCCAATAAAACTAGGGAAAAAGGAGTGCCACATCTCTCTCTTCTTTGAGATGATCCACCCGCTTCTTTGAGGGTCTTTCCCTGTTCCTCCAATAAACTTTGCTATGTATACTTCCACTACATTTCGTGTCCTGCTTGCTTCACATTTTCTTCTGCAAGAATACAAGAGCTGAGAGACACCCCTGGCCTATTACAGGTAATAGTATGACAGCAATTACACGTATATTTTAATAAAATTTCTACTAAATATTATGAAAATATTTCAGGTACACTGAAAATGAAATTTTAATTAACCAGTCCCCACATCAAAGTTTGTCTTAAGCATTGAGAGAGATGCCAATCTCTGAAAAATTTGGTCCATAGTCTAGTAACCTTTAGATTTAGGCATCAGATGGTTAAAATCCTACTGTACAGTTAACCTATAGTCAGCCAGATACAGATGTTTGTCAGCTGGTGCCAGCCCTAAGGTATCATATCAGATTTCAGCAATCAATTCTGGAAAGTCATGCAATGTCATCTCTTTGACAGAACTAATTTCCCCTCTATTGTATTTTTATTATATTTCTATAAATTTTGGAATTCCCTGGTGTAACAGAAAACACTGGCCTTGGGAGTAACAGTAAATGTGAATTTCATTCTTCTACACATTTATTTATCTTTTTGAGCCTCAGTTTCTTCACCTGAAGCATAACCACCACCACCTACTACATGGCTGTTCTCCAGGGAGAACAGGTTGGCCTATAATAGGCAATTTGTTTCCTTCTACACCTCTGTGTGTGCATATGTACCTTAATACTGACTTTTGTGTGCAAAAACAATACAATATAGACATGAACTTTGAGCATTTCTAGAAGTGACTTAAAATCTTTATTAACAAGGTAGGTTTAATGAAGTAAAAAAGGTAGAATATTGTAAGAAATCAGAGTAAACTGARCACAGTAATAGCTGGACAATGGCTATAAGAAGTGGCCTGCACTATCATGTTGCTGGGCCATTGCCTAGTGTAATCCAGCCTCAATATTCCTTGAGTTTGCATCTTGGGCTATATAAAATTAATATTTTATTGCTTCTGCAAATTAAGAAATGGAGTCTATTAGATTTACTCAAAATAAGAGATGTCTGTTTATTTTTTAATATTTTCCCTGTATAAAATTATAGCATATTAAAGAAATAATTCATCTTAGTGGGTTTAAAATGTTTTTTAAAAATCTCACAAACTCCTAATTAAAAATTTTTGACAACTGCCAGGTGTGGTGGTGCACACCTTTAATCCTAGCATCTCCAGAGGCTTGAGGCAGGAGGACTGTGAGTTCAAAGACAGCCTCAGCAAAAGCAGTCCCTAGGCAACTCACTGAGACCCTGTCTCTAAAATAAAATAGAAATAGGGCTGGAGTTGTGGCTCAGTGGTCAATTTTAATCCCCAGTACCATCCCCTGCAAAAAAAAAAAAAAAAAAAAAAAGTAACAGTTATACCACAAAAAATGACAAAGAATGATGGAGACAACTGAAAAGAAGCTATGTTGAAAACAAGAAGACTGACAGTACTGATGTCTCTATTCTACATTAAATAAAAAAATGACACTGCCTCTTCAAATATGCAGTGCTTTCCCACTACATTATACCCTATAGTTAATCTGAATGAATAATAGCTCTAACCAAGAACTTGTCTTTTTAACTAAGGTTCTTTTATCTGTAATATGTCTCTTATCTTTACCCCTTCTCACATAACCTCCTTGTATTTTTAATTATCTTCCTCTAGTATTATTATTCTCCCATTAGAAGGAAATAGGCTAGAGTGTGAGGAAAGGAGGAAGTGCAGAGGCAGTTGGGAGTTGTTAGGTGGAGGAAAGCAATTCACTATAAGAAACTTAATCAGTAATGATTACCATAATAGAGTTACCCAGGAATAGGAGGCTTTATGTAATCTATGATCCGAGTCATTTTCATTGTTTAAATTAAAAGCTCTGCTATGGTTGTGACTATATGGTTGTGACTAGCCACACATAGCTTTTAAATATAATTAAGAGTAAATAAAACCAAAAAGTTAAGTTCCTCAGTCATATCAGCTATACTTAAAAGTACTCATGTGACATGTGCTGCTAGGGGCTGTCAGATTAGACAGTACAGAATTATAGAACAGAATTATAGAATTTCCATCACAGAAAGTACAATTGGACAGAACTGATAGGCATATGAAAATGAAAAAAACACTAGCCCTTAATTTCTTTTAAATTAAAAAATATCTCAGCTTGAGCTTTGAAGTCAGACCTGGATTCTAAGGCTAACTCTGGCTCACTCTACTGATATTCTCAACTTCATACCCCTTCTCAGTAGAAATCCCAGGAGTCAATGGAGATGGAAACATCTGCTACACTGAACTGTGTGAGGCTTGATGTGAGAATAAAGTGGTGAAACAACAGGTGTTCAATAAAACTATGTAAAAGGAAAAGAAAATAGATATCTCAATCTACTATCGTATAACTTACCAAAAAGGGGGAAAAATCTAGTTTTATTTTTTTAACATCAGAAAATGAATGTGATATAAGAGTCCTCCTTAAAATAGAAAAGCTGGAAAATTAAAAAGTTWGACTTGTTGATAGCAACTGATTTATTTTTAAGTGCATTATCTAACAAAAACAAATGACCATAAATTCGAGCTTACCTGCTGCCAGACTGGGCTAGGTTGCCAAGAGGCAGTGCAGATGTCACCTGCAGCATAGATATCAGGAAGGGATGTGTGCATATGGTCATTCACTTTCAGGCCACCATCTTCTCCTAGTTCAAACTAAAAATGTTCCTTATAAGCAATAAGTGTTGAGAAAAATGAAACAAATTTTTCATTCTAAAGTAAAAGACCAAGTGAAATTTTTACTCCTTGGTGTGCTGATCTTTAATGAGAAAGTGAAAAACAGCTGCCAAATTTAGACACCTAAGCTGAATTTCCAGGGATCAAATTCCTACTAAATACAGAATCAGAAAAAAATTCTCAGAAYTTCAACATCAAAAATAATTAATAATCATATGACTATACCACCCATAATTACAGAAACATTCCTGTTTTTATAAGCTTTTGCTGCATAGCAATCAGTAAATAATTAAAAAAGAGTCACATTTGAGAATTCATAGGAGATGTTAGTCTCTTACTAACATTTAGATAAATTGTATGTTATGTACCTTGAAGACATTATGCTGATATTAAGTATTTTAAACAATAAAGAATACTGTAAATCAAAGCTTGGCTATAAACCAAACTGTTTTCAGCCATCTTAAGTTATATGTTAATACTAAAACAATTTTTCATGCTTGAGAGGAAATCTTCATAAAAGTTAATACTTTAAAAATAATCATAGTTAGACAAAAAATTTTATCTTACATTGTTACCACTGAGAAAAGGTTCTGTATTTGGTGTAACTCCTGTAGCACTGACAATGAAGTCACAGCCATATATCTTTTCATTGGTCAATTCCACATACACAGGCCACATCTCTTAAAAAAAAACAAAAAACAAAAAMCAAAAAACTTTATTCTCAGATATAATCACCAGCAATTATTCACAGCATTACATGAATATAACAACTAGAAATGAAGAAGAAAGAGGGCTGGGGTTGTAGCTCGGTGGTAGAGTGCTTGCCTAGCACATGGGATCTTCAGCACCACATAAAAATAAATAAAGATATTGTGTCCTCTACAACAAAAAATGGAAAAGGAAAAAAAAAAAGAGGGAAATGAGTTTAGAATAATACCCTTGAATAATTTTTATAAGGTACTTTTTTTATAAGGTACGTCATCTTATTTGGGGTATAATTACAAAAAACATGGCATTCTACATGTTTTCCTTCAAACTTGGACATATACATTTTAACAAAGTAAATTTAACTGATAATCACTTTCTAAATTATTTCCTTGAAAATTTTCATGAATATTTTATACTGTTTGATCCAACTAGTTTATTTTTTAAATTTTTTTTAATATTTATTTATTTTTTTTAGTTTTTTTTCGGCRGACACAACATCTTTGTTTGTATGTGGTGCTGAGGATCAAACCCGGGCCGCACACATGCCAGGCGAGCGCGCTACCGCTTGAGCCACATCCCCAGCCCCCAAACTAGTTTATTCTTCAGTGTTTTTCTTCATAGTACATAGTTCATCTTGAACACTCCCTTTTCCTATGGAAAAGCTGAAAAGAATTTGGAGCAGGAGAATTATATAATCATATATTTCTTCAAATAATGCACAAGAGTGTAGAATAGTAGTTTTCATGGGAATGTGGAATAGGACATAGAAAATCTATATCCTATTCCTAAATACAGAAATTTTCAATCCGATTAAGGGAAGTCACTTTACCTCAACTAACTTTAGGATTTTAAAAAAATTTATTTGTAATATGATTTGTTTTGAGCTGTAATATATTCATTAACTCGTTGAGCTGAGACAGTCCAAGCACTGTGTAAAATTTAAAGCCTTATATAATTTATTAGAAATTTTAAAGAATAAGTAGTAAAATGAAATGACTTAATGTTATTCAATTATGGCTTTTTTTTTTACTTAAATCTTATATGGAAATCTGAAGTTTTAAAATATAAGACAGCAAGACTGTATTCCTTTAAAATAAGTTGTTATATATTTTACCTTTATCACCTTTAACTGATTCATTCTGATGGTCTCTTGGGAAAGTACAGGACTTTTTCTTTAGAATTCTAAATTCTTCCTGAAGATAGATTTTCTTTACTTCACACATAGTTTCAATATGAATTTTACGAGAAAACTAGAAGTAAAAAGAAAAAAAAAAGGTTACTCTAATACTTCAAGAAAATAACTTGTGTTACCGAAGATGAAGAAAATAACTATAATACACTTGCAGAAACATAGAGGAGAAAAACAATACTTAGCTATGAATTACTTTGGATAYCCCCCAAAAACCTCTCCATTTTTGTGCATAAGAGGAATGAGCAGAAATGCATTCAGTACTTTAAAGAGACCTAGCATTTGCACTGGCAAATAGAATGGAGGGGATGCTTTTCATTCTTAGCCGGATAATTACACATGCATAGTTTAAAAATTAGAATAGTAACAGACTATAAAAACTTCTTCAGAAAAATTCCAGAACCTAGCACTTTACTAGTCCTAAGTAAATAGTAGATATTCAGTAAAGGTTTATTGAACTGTATTATTGTGTTAAAAAAAACAATCGTAGGATCTAAGAGTACAGAAAGAAATGATTCTGTATAATCCCATCCTCCAAATTAAGTATACCATGTAGCCAGACCCTCTTACTTATCCAAAGCTGAAAAAATTGCTTTAAAGAAATCAGAGAGTTATTAAGAACTCTATGCATACTCCTTTTAAAATATGACAGCTTTTTAACAACTGTCAAACATTTAAAATAGTTAATGAATAATAGCAAGTAATCTGCTTATCCAATTAGGATATTAAGTGAATGTGTTTGAACCTATCTAACAAACTTTTTTTTTTGAGTTTTCTACTCTTTTTTTATAATTATTTTTTATTTATATATGACAGTAGTATGCATTATAATTCTTATTACACATATAGAGCACAATTTTTCATATCTCTGATTGTATACAAAGTATATTCACACCAATTTGTTTTTTTGGGATTGGCTAACATCACTTAGCATTATCTTCTCTAACTCCATCCATTTACCTGCAAATGCCATGATTTTACTCCCTTTTATTGCAGAGTAATATTCCATTGTGTATATATGCCACAGTTTTTTTATTCATTCATCTACTGAAGGGCATCTAGGTTGGCTCCACAGTTTAGCTATTGTGAATTGTTCTGCTATAAACATTGATGTGGCTGTGTCCTTGCAGTATGCTGTTTTTAAGTCCTTTGAGTATAGACCCACAAGAGGCATAGCTGGGTCAAATGGTGGTTTCATTCCCAATTTTCCAAGAAATCTCCATACTGCTTTCCATATTGGCTGCACCAGTTTGTAGTCCCACCAGCAGTGTATGAGTGTACCTTTTTCCCCACATCCTTGCTAACACTTACTGTTGATTGTATTCATAATAGCTGCCATTCTGACTGTAGTGAGATGAAATCTTAGAGTGGTTTTGATTTGCATTTCTCTAATTGCTAGTGATGATGAACATTTTTTTCACATATTTGTTGACTGATTTTATATCATCATCTGAGAAGTGTCTGTTCAGGTTCCTGGCCCATTTATTGATTGGGTTATTTATTTTTTCAGTGTTTTAACTTTTTGAGTTCTTTGTATAACCTAGAGATTAGTGCTCTATCTTTTGTGTGAGGGGTAAAAATTTGCTTCCAAGATGTAGGATAGTTATTCACCTCACAGATTGCTTTTATTTATTTATTTTTTTTGCTGAGAAGAAACTTCTTAGTTTGAGTCTATTCCATTTATTGATTCTTGGTTTTAATTCTTGTGCTACAGGAGTCTTATTAAGGAAGTTGGGGCCTAATCCCATATGATGGAGATTAGGGCCTACTTTTTCTTCTATTAGACGCAGGGTCTCTGGTTTTATTTCTAAGTCCTTGATGCATTTTGAGTTGAGTTTTGTGGATGGTGAGAGATAGAGTTATCTAACAAACTTTATAAGTGTAATAGAAGTATCTGAAGTGATCTTGAAGAAAAGATTAAAAGAGGACAGGTGTGTTCAGTGTAATCAGGGTTTGGAAATTTCTATGCCTTCAGAGTTAAGAGGAAGACTTAGAGTTGGATAAATTTCATATTCTCCTGTCTTTGGTGGGCATCTAGGCCAAATGGCTTTGAGTCCTTTCCTAGCATATGGATTTATAAAGTAAAGTGACCTACCAATTCTTTGGCTAACGTTAACAAATGGCTCACGAATCTAACATTGCATTTAAATATATTTAGCCAGTGTATGACACATACCTCTTTTGTTCCTTTAAGACTCAACCCTTCATGCCAGTCTGGTCCCAAGGCACTGCCTACATTATCAGCATTAACTTTGGTTCTTGCTTCTTTTTTCTTTCCTGAAAAAATGAACTCAGATGATTTACAAATTGCCAGGCAGAAAATTATGCCTGTGTTCTGAAACTTTAGGCAATGTATGATTCTCATTTGTGACTAAACTAAGCATTAATCATTTCATTCTTTTTAATATTGTTTGGTTTATACCTATAAAATGGATAATCCTTCCATTAAGTATTGTGTATAAATAACACTTGATGTATTTTTTTGGATATTACATACCTAGATAATTTGAAGGATAAGAAAATTAGTTGTCAGATTTTCAAATTTTATGAACTTTTAAGAACTCCAAAACTTACAAATTTTTGTTTTGAATTTTATAAGTCAGAAATTTTCTTTCTTTCTTTTTTTTTTTTTTTTTTTTAGAGAGAGAGAGAGAGAGAAAGAGAGAATTTTTTTAATATATTTTTTTTTCCCTTGGCAGACACAACATCTTTGTTTGTATGTGGTGCTGAGGATCAAACCCAGGCCGCACGCATGCCAGGCGAGCGCGATACTGCTTGAGCCACATCCCCAGCCCAGAATTTTTCTTAAAAGCTATTAAACAACAGCAATAACAACAAAAATTGTGAGGTTTGTACTTGTGGTATTTTTAGAAAATTACCTTGGGTACTGCCCTATAGCATCTGTTTGCAAAGAGGCAAATGGGCTGGTTTATTTAATTCATTCTAAATTTCTCAATTGTATATATGTTTTAGAAAATCTGAAAACTTCATATAAAGATACAGGAATAAATATCCATAGTCTTATATACCAAATATATTTTGTTAAAATTTTATAGCCCTTTTGTGTATAGTTTAAAAAATTCCATATGAGAATTAATGAACTAGATGGCATACATACCTTCAGTTGTATATCTAGTTCTTTTATGTGCAATTTTAGTCTCTGGTTTTTCAGAAATGAGTTTGGAAGTCAAAAATTCTGCAGCTCCTACATCAAAGAAAGTATTCCCAATAGCTTTATCTTTAATGGCCCAAATAACTTCACAGCCTTCAATTTCATATCTGAAACAAATATTAAGGTTATCTGACATAATTTCAAAGGTCCAAGGAGAAATCTCTGTATCTGCAAATAACAATTATCTTTTAAAGCAAAAGTAACAAACATTTTTAGACAAATTTGGAAAGACTGATTATAAAGAGTAACATAATACACTTTAAGGATAATAAAAATACAATAAATAGTTGCATATGGTGGTATATTCCTGAAATCCCAGTGACTGAAAACTGAGGCAGGAGAATTGCAAATTTGAGACTAGCCTCAGCAATCTGGCAATGCCCTAAGAAACTCAGCAAGACCTTGTCTCAAAATAAAAATAAAAAGGGCAGGAGATGTAGCTCTGTGGTAAAGTGCCCCTGGGTTCAATCCAAAAGCAAAACAAAAGAATACTAAATATATGTACTTAACATTAAGAAAAATTTTATTACAATGAATATCATTTCAGAGTGTTCAAGTTTTATGCAACTGTCCTCCAGATGTACATAAGGTTTTGTTCATATGGTTATAGTGCAATCAATAATGGATAGATGGTAAATAGCTACAGTATTGGGAATAGTTGACTTCTTTGGAAACATTTTTAATGGTTCAAACAAATTGCCATTTTAATCTCTTGGACTGGTATAATGTAACACAGGTTATGTGACTTTTCAAGACTAATAATAACCATGTAATAGAAAAGAGAAGATCTTTTTAGTACATCATACTCCTGGTCACATGCTATTCATGTTTTTTTGACGTACTGGAAAGAAGCCCTTTGCCTTATCCAGTGTTACTTTATTTTTCCTACTCTCCAATGCTAACATTTAGTCACTAAATTTTAGATTACTGGGAGAAAATTCTATTTTATGTTGCTTAGGTCAGACATTGCTTATCAGCAGAAAATGGAATACATACCTATTTGATAATTTTGCTCAATTTACATATAGTCATATAGTTATCATGAAATGCTTTCCTTTTTATAAATGAGAAATTTATAGTTTTTCATACCTTAATATAGCAGTATAAAAACATCAGCGTAGTTTAATATACTTATGATTGACTTGCAGGCCACAGTTATTTTAAGTAATCACCACAAAGTAGTCCTGAACTTGCTCTTCCTCAGCCTCTAATCTTCTTCTCCTAACCCAAATTGAGGTCTCATCAAGATATACAAGCTTGAAGGTATCACACATAGATGAAATACTTTTATTTTCAAAACCACTCAAAAAATAGACAATAGCGTGGTATCACAGTTTGGTAAAATTGTGAAAAACTGTTTGAAAAGGAAAGAATTAATCTGTACTTGGAAAGAAGAAACAGATAATAAGGGGATACTGATGAACAAAATTAGTGTTAGTCTCTGTGGAACACAGATGGTATTAAAGAGTAGAAAGGGTTTACATATGTCATTTTTCATCCTGAGAGACAGAGAACTAATCATTCAATGGATCCAAACACAGAATAGCAATACTTGTGACCATTCTTAAGCTGTCAAATAGCTTACTGTGTGTAAAATTATGTTTTATCCATGTTTATAGTCTTCATTCTTCAACATAAAGAAAATGATAAAAGATTAAATGTTGGAGACTATAAACATTTTGGAACATAAGAAAGCTTTTAAATGTAAATTATAATAATTATTATATGATACTTTTGGTGACAGCTGATGAAGATTATCTGTCACATGTACAAACAATCTGAAGCCCCTTCTACATCTGTGCCTCTCCCCACATGGCTTGATTTTTGGTTACTACTCTAGAATTTTCTCTGCATTTTTTCTATACAATGACAGAAGCTTCCTATCATAATAATGATTGCTACCTCTAAAACTTAAGTTATTGCTGAACTCTTATAGGCTTCCAATGGGATTGACCATCCTAAAAACACAAGGGCAAAAACTATTCTAAGAGTTGGAGTGGATGCACAAGCAAAGGCAGGCTTGGCATATTCCTTATTTTTATTCAAGTTTTTCCTTCTGTGGTTTGACCCAAACTTTCTGGCCCAAAAGAGATCTAGACTATGTATGTTAGCCACCTAACATACATAAAAATCACAAGGAAAGTGAACTAGTGTTCTCCAGTTCACAATAGGCTATTTTCAACATTTTTTTGAACTTGAAATATCATCTTAAAATGAAAATATTACCCGCCCCCCCAAACAAACAAACAAAACTAAGAATTGGGAGGACCACATCTTTTTTGTTGTTGTTGTTGGGGTGGTGGTGGTGACTGAACTCAGGGCCTTGCATATGCAAGGCAAGCACTCTACCAACTGAGCTGGGAGTACCATGTCTTATAATAGTAGTCACTACTACTGTTATTGGGTTTCACTGGCCAGACAGGTAACAAATTAAATGAGTGAAGGAGGGTGGGTATAAGCAATAAAAAGTGTATAGGCCATGAAATTTCTTAGGTGTATACATGTAAATTATTTTTATACACAGTGCAGTTATAAAGCACATCTATGCATGAAAACTTCCCGGCCACCAGTTTATCAGCCCTTCAGACCAAAAGCATTCCCAAACCTTTTATGTTTTGTGAGGAAATTTCTAGAGATGGGTTCCATAAGAACTATTTTTTTTCCTTGAAACCCTGAAAAATAGTTATGTTTATCTTTGATTTTCAGGGTATGTTTTCTGCTAATAATCATATGAACCACAGAGCAATTCTTAAATAATATTTTAAAACATACTTACACTAACTCAAGTGCAATACCACCGTTTCCTATGATCATTATTCTTTTAGCTTTATTAAGCTGTTTCTGAAATTCCTATATAAAAAAGAAAATAATAAGACAGTGTTTTGAAATAGTGGACAATACCTGAAGCAAGAGGCTTTACTGATAATATTCTAAAAAATGTGTTTTATCAAATTTATAAAGGAACAATAAAATAAATCTCACTTCCCCATACTACCAGAATATTATCCTCTCAATTATTACAACGTTCCCCTTTGTTTCATTCCAAGCTGCCTTTGTAGCAAGGCCTATCCTGATTTTTCTTGCCTTTTATGTCACTGTATGTGAAGTACTTCAGAATTTCAGCAAGAGGTATTGTCAAGGTTACCACATTTCCAACTGTTTGACCAAATCAATTTTTTATTCTTTTTACCTAGCCTCTCAGTGGACCTGTTTCCTTAGAGTCTCTCAACATAAAAATTTTCAGGAATGAGAAGCATAACAACATAGTGGTTAAGAGAACAGGCTCCAGAGTCACTGGCTTTGGCAGTTCCTAATAGATGACCTGGGGCAAGATGCTTAACCACTATGCCTTAGGTTTCTCAACTCTAAATGGAAATAAGTGACTATATCCCTTAATATTTCTGAAGGACTGTTTATATGACGTGATAAAGCTATTAGGAGTAGCAGACATGTAATACTGTCTAACAATTATTGAAAAAATGTATTTACCATTATAGGAGAACTACTTGACCCCCCTCCAAAAAAAAGAGACTTATGTTCAGCTTGGAGAAGTCAGTGGCCGTTCCTCTGGACCTTTTAAAAGTGCAGACTTGTCTTATTGCTTCAGAATTACATCTGAGCAAAAAAAATTTCTCCTCCTATTATCTAACTTACCATTATTATTAAATTGGCCCCCAAATTTAGTGTTCACTAAAAATTATTTTTTAAAAATYCTACTGTAGAAAGAAACAGAAGCTAAGTTTAGTTTGTTCTTCATTGAGGATATTGCAATTTAAGAAAGGTTTATAAAGAGCACTAGACATAGAGATGAAAGGCATGAGTTTAAACTATACATATGTTAAACCTGAAGTATAACAGATTTTGTACTTCCACTTTTTATCTGTTCTAAAGTAAAAATCTCAGTGTTCTATTTGTAAACCACTCTGCCAGGTAGTTCCCTCCTGATATTATAAATGCTTTCCTTTGTCTTTCATCCCAAGCTACCTTTGTAACAAAGACTTTCCTGAATATCAAGATTTTCATGAGAATTCAATATATGTTCAATATCTATGATGTATTCGTATGTTCATGTATGTTGAAGATCTACCTAAAACAGTTCTAAACTCAAATTCTGATAGTATGAACCTATACTATTTATGAGAGGATAATCATAGATAATGTTTTTTTCCTAAATTCCTAATTAAAAGTAGGTTGAAAGAAAACAGCAATTTTAATGAAGTTAAAATGTTACGTAAATGCAAAATCATAACAGGAGCAGTAATCTTGGGAATTACAAAGTATTGGCATGAAACCAGGAAGAGCTTCTTGGTAACAATAAATAAATTACCAAAAAACGTTGCACATATAAACATTTCACGTTCTTGGATGGTTTATCCTTGTTCGGTGGAATAGCAATAAACCAACCAAACCATAAACCTTTATCAGTTCCATGATTTCATACCAAAGAAATTATGAATATAATTTCTTTGCTGAGCAATAAGATCACAAATTTAAGATATGCAATACCTTTTTGGAAAAAGATTGTCACATTGTTTAGGTTGCAAATCAAATGTTCCCAAACTGGAGTAATTGATATGTGTGCAATGTAAGCTATACCATTCAGCACAGGCACTATATCTAAACTATGTGATAGCCAAACAAATATAGGACATTCGACTGAACTAAAACATAAGATAAATTATCAACAAAAAACAAACTAAAGTTGGCAATAATAAAACATTATAATCATTCTGGTTTATGAGAAATCTTCCTTCTGCCCTGATACATTTAAAATTTAACATTATGCATGGAACACTATGGTTCAGATGTTGAAGTCTAAGGAAACTTCAAGTTCCCTTCCTATGACCCAACCTTAAAATATTACCTGAGCACTGTCTGTATCACGAATTCCTAATACATAAGGATTTCCTTCACATATCAATTTTGGTTTAGCTCCAGCACACAGACAGAGTTTTTTGTACACATGCTGACTGCCATCTTCTGTGAATATGCACTGTAAGTACACACAGCAATGAAAGGAAGAAGAGAAACATACATGGGTACAATTTCACTTAAAAATTAAAACTTTAATAAGACAAAAGCAAAATAACATAATATAGTTGCCTCTTGGTGGCACTCAATTCTTAGTTATAGCAATTACAGAACTAAGYATAAGCCTATATTCTCTATTTAAGTGATTTCTAATCAGTTTAGTGTCATAAGTCAGTTTGAAGATCTGATGAAAATCATTCTCTTGCCTCTGGACTTTTTAAAAAAGTACATTCACACAAGTTCTGCAATAAAATTTCAAGGACTCTCATAATGTCTAGAAAGGTAGGTTGACCTCAGATTAAAAACTAAACTTGATAAAGAACTTTAAAACTGAGCATTTTGATCAGTTTTTTTTTTTTTATCATGGGAATAGGTCATGGTGAAAATTCTTTTATTCCCAGTGGAAGATACTGTAATATCTAGTGATTCTAATCCTATCATACCTTAATATCTGATATGGGTTCAGGGAAGGAGTATGTGGTATAGGAGGTTATAATGTGTCTTTTTTAATCTAAAAATATTAGATGTGCTAAAAAATTGCTTAAATAAAATAACTTTTAGCAAACTAAATGTTTTGAGAGATTACATTTTAATACAATTGAAAAACATGTTAACCTCAATTTTGCATGCACTGGCTTTGAAGTTTTTTATATTAATTTTTCATAATATCAGTGAGTCTAAAAATACGTATTAAAGATTCACTGTTTTTGTTCCTTAGTACTGAATGAAAATGTAATTCTAGGAGGTTAGAAAGCAGACATAAGTGCATACTATTATGAGAAATGCTTGACTTTGGAGGTTTTCATTTGTGCTATACATTTAATTTATAAAACTTAGCAAATCATTCAAATATTTATTACCCATGAAGATAYTTATTACCCAATTTAACTCTTCATCTGCATAAAAACACATAAAACCACAATCCAACCAAATATAATCTATATGGAAATATTATACAAGTCTTCCTTCAGATAATCTGGTTAGAATTTTATCTGACAGAAATAGAATTTATACTGGGAGGCTCAGATAGGAGGATCCCAAGTTCAAGGCCAGCCTCAGCAACTTGGCAAGGACCTAAGCAATTTAGTGAGACCCTGTCTCAAAATTTTAAAAATAATAAAATATTATATTGTAGTCACTGATCAAACTTGAAAAATAATTCACATTTAGCTACTATAAAAACAAGCACCACAAAAACATTTTTCATTAGCTACTGCTAAATTTTTGGAAGTAGACATGAAAATAAAACATTATTTCTAATTCACTAAGGAATGAACAGGATGATGGATAAGAATGCAGATATGTATCAGACGTATCATACTTTTCAAATAGTAGTGGGAGGCACTAATATATAAATTCTTGTTTTTGAGAATCCACTCAATTTGCAAAACAACTTGACATGGATGTTATCTGGAATATGTAYTACCATTAAATGTATTAGAAACTTACTTCAATTTTAGAATTCGTATTTTAAATTTTTTTCTCCTAAAACTCAGTATTCCTAACTTTCTTTATATGGAATTATTTGCATTTCACCCATTTTATAGCTGAAATAGCTGCAAACCCCATTTACTATTTGCCTAAAGTTCATCTGAGGATATTTTCAATCATCTGATAACATCTTTTCTTGAGACTGCCTTACTTATTCTCATGTGCAAGGGGTTACTGAGTCCTGCTGAATATATAGTAGAAATATCTCTTAAATTTGGGACATGTTTTCTAGCTACCTTGTCCCTGTCTTCACTCAGGACTTACATCATTTTGTATGAGTGCAAYTGCCTATTAATATGGTTGTTGGCTACCAGTACTTGGCTCCACCTCAGTTCATCTTGGATATTATTGTAGATATGTCTTACTAAAAATTATTTAAAATTTTTCTTTTACAATTTTGACTGAATATAAAATAAATTCAACTTCTTGCCATGATATAAAAAGCTCTTTACAATCCAGCCTTGATTGCCGTTTTCTTTTATTTACTCACATCCTAAGTCCTTTAACATCCACACTATTTCTTAGCCTCTTTTTCCTTCTTTTGGCTCTTTGAACATTGATTTACTCTTCCTAGAATGCCCTTTTCTACCTGAAAAACCCTCACCCATCTTTTAAAACCTAGATCAAATATATTACTCCCTCTGTGAAGTTTTCCTAAATACCTAGTATCAGAGCTTCAACAGTATTTTTAGGATTGTTTTTTTTTTACATTCATAATAGGCATGTCTATATTGTATATGATACATACTAGGCATGTCTATATTCCCTATGATACTGACAGCTTAGAGGAGCTAAGCTTGTATTATTCCTAGTATATCCTTGTATCTAATGCGGTACTTCAAAAATATTTTATAAACAGTAATGAAATTTGAAATGTAGAAACTAAAAGGACACACTCACTATATAATTACAACAAARTCTTCAAAAGTGTTACTTTTCTTTCTTTTTTAAATTTAATCTTTGCAGTACATGAGATCAAACCCTTGGGTGCTTTACCGCTGAGCTACATTCCCAGCTCTTTTTACTTTCTGAGTCAGGGTCTCACTAGGTTGCCCAGATTGCTCTTTTGAACTTGCAATTGTCCTGCCTTAGCCTTCTGAGTAACTGGAAATCCAGGTGTGTGCCACCACACCTGGCCAAAAGTGTAAATTTTTTAATAATAGAAATAAATGCCTCTAAACTTTACATTTTAGGGATTTAAATGATGGTGCAATGGAAGTGGGGTAAAAAGAAGACAATCAAAACCTCACCAAGATTTAACAGTAGAAAAATAACTTTTAATGAAAGTATCTTACATGTTCTTCACTCTTCAGTTGCTTTACTCCAGATTCTAAAACCCTAATGTTGGGGAAGCGATTTTCTAACATGGTACTTGGTTGTTCTTCAACATCAAATTCTTCCAAAATTTTAGAAACCTTTATTAGATTGAAAGGTAAAAAGAAAAAAAAAAGTATATTTTAAAAAGATGATTTAAGAATATTAATAAAATACTTTCATTTTAAAAATACACAATTACTTCATGTTCTTAAAACAAGAAAGTTGGCCAACTGCATTGTTATGGTTTGGATCTTACAAGTCTCCCAAAGGCCCACATGCTAAAGGTTTGGTCCCAGCCTGTGGCATAACAGGGAGGTGGTGGAACTTTTAGGAGGTGGAGCCTAGGGGAAGGAAGTCAGATAATCAGGGGCATGCCTTGAAGAGGATATTTAGATTCTATCCCCTTTTCTTTGCTTCCCAGCTTCCATGAGGTGAAGAGCTGTGCTTCAGCACATGCTTTCCACCATGATGTTCTAGTTTACTACAGGCCTAGAAACACTGGCAATGGACTGAGACATCTGAAACTGAGACAAAACAAATATTTCTTACTTTTAAGTTGATTATCTCAAGTATTTGTCACAGTAATGGAAAAACTGATTAATACATGCATTATAAACAGTGAAAAGAGGATGAGGCTCTCTCTGTATTTTAAGACTTGAACTCAAACATCAGTTCTGACACTTCTGAGTGTTAGTTTCTTGGCTTATAAAAAGACAGCTAACAGTATTTACTTTTCCATAGTTTAAACCAGTATCTTATCTATTTCTGTATTCTTCTAGCTTTTTTATTCTACTTACCAGCTAACATTATTGTGACCTAGTCTTTGTATTCTTCTTTCCTGTTCTTGAAGATCATCAACATTCTCTCAAACTCACTATTTTTCCTATCCAGCTAAGATTCTAAAGTGGATCATTTCATCTTTTGTCCTAACCCTTTACTTCTTTGCTATTTTATCCTTAACCATTAATTATCCTGAAAACCCATCATAAATTAAACTACCTAGTTTTTCTAGTTCTTACCTAGTTTGCTSTGCAGGAACAAAACAATCTTGAGGATTGGAATTTGACCTCAGCTGCTCTTTAAACAATGCCTGGAAATCCTACACTATATGGCCTGTGTATTCTTATACTTTTTGGTCTCAAAAAATATTTTTATTTTCTTTATATACTTACAAATTATTGAGAACCTCAAAGAATTTTTGTTTGTATGAATTACACAGATCAATATTTGCCACATTAGAAATTAAAGCTGAAAAAATTTCTAAGTATTTCTTAATTCATGTAAAAGCAAGCATAATAAATCTAATACTTGTTAAAATGATATATTTTTAAATGAAAAATGACCATATTTCCCAAAATAGAAAAAATGTCTATACTACCCAAAGCCATCTACGAATTCAACAATCGATACCAAAATTTGATTGACATTTTTATAGAAACAGAAACATAATCCTAAAATTCATGTAGGACAAGAAAAGACCCAAAACAGCTTGAGGAATATTGAGCAAGAAAGAATAAAGCTGGAGTCATCAAACTATCTGATCTGAAGTTATATCATAAAAGTACAGTAATCAAAATAGCATCATACTGGTATAAAAACAGATAAATAGATCAATGGAACACAAGAGCCCAGAAATAAATCCACACACTTATGGTTAACTGATTTTCAACAAATGTGCTAAGAACACAAAATGAGGAAAGGACAATTTTTTTTTCAATAAACGATATYGGGCAAACTGACATCCCATGCAGAAAATAAAATTCTACCCTCACTTCACACCATACACAAAAACTGAGTCAAAATAGATCAAAGCCTTTAGGGTAAACATTGAAACTATACAACTAAGAGAAAAAATAATAGGGGGGAAAATCTCCATGACATAATCTGGGGAGGGAATTTTTGGGTATGATCTCAAAGCATAGGCAAAAAATTACAAATAAACAAATGGAATTATATCAAACTAAAGTTTCTGCACAGAAAAGAAAACAACAGGATGATGAGATAATCTATAGAGTGTCAAAAATATCTTCAAACCATATGTATGTGATAAGGCATTAATAAATAAAATATATCAGGAATCCAAATAACTCATAGTAAGAAAACTAATAACCTGATTTTAAAAATGGTCAAAAGACCTGAACAGCCATTTCTCCAAGAAGACATAAAAATAGATAACATATATAAAAAAGTACTCAAAATCACCAATTTAGGAAATGAAAATCAAAACCCAAATGAGATTATTACTTCACACCTGTTAGGATGGCTTCTATCCAAAAGATAAAAAGTGCTGGTGAGGATATGGAGAAAAGGAAACCCTGATACAATGCTGGCAGAAGTGTAAATTAGTATAGCCTGATGGAAAATAATAAGGTTCTTCAAAAAATTAAAAAATAGAAGTGACATATGATATAGCAATCCACTAGAAAGTATATCTACAAAAGAAATTAAATCAGCACCTCCTAGTGATATTTGTCCTTCTATGTTCACTGCAGCATTATTCACAACAATCAAAGTATGAAAGCAACCTGAGTGTTCATCATTGGATAAGTAGATACAGGCAATGTGCTACTTACGAACAATGAAATACTATTCAGCTTTTAAAAAGGAAGACATCCTGTCAGATGACAATATGGATAAGCCTGGAGGACATTATGCTAGTGAAATAAGCATAATAGAAAGCCTTACCATATGATCTCACTTATATGTGGAAACTAATTGTGTTTACTGAAGACTGGGGAGTAGAGGCATTATGGTGATCTTGATCAAGGAAACAAAACTTCAGTTAGGAAGAATAATTTCAAGAGATCTGTTGCACATCCTGATCAGTAAAATTAATAATAATATATTGCACATTTGGAATTTGCTAAAGATATATTTTAACTGTTCTCATCATAAAAAAATGATAGTGAGTTAAATAATGATTTAGTCATCCCACACTGTATATACATTCATCAAAACATCATGGTGAGGCTGGGGCTGGGGCTCAGGGGTAGAGCGCTTGCCTGGCATGTGTGAAACTCTGGGTTCAATTCTTAGCACCACATATAAATACATAAAATAAAGGTCTATCTACAACTAAATATATATATATATTAAAAAGACATCATATATATGTACAATTATTTCTCATCAATTTTAAAAAAGAAAAACCAATTCTAACTACTACACATATTACTTTAGTTTTTTTTCAAATTAATATTAAAGTTATACAAATTTCTTACCTGCTTGAAATTTGTAACTGCTTTAATAACAGGAGAAGCTGTTACCAGGAGAATATCTTCTGATGGAAAGTTAATCGCCAACTTATTTTTGGAAAAAGAGAAACATGATAAATAACTTTAGGTCTTGCTATAAAAATGATGTATGTGTGTGTGGGGGGGGTGGGATAATACAGTTTTAATAATGTTATTAACTAGTGAAATTAAAAACTGAATTATTCCTCATCTAAAGGTTTTTGTTATTCTGGGTCCTGTTCATATTTATAAGGCAGTGAATAAGGAATGTTAAACTCTTATATTGATAAAATGAGTATCATTTACATTAAACATTAACAAAGAATTCCTGAGCAAGAAAATATAAAGAAGTATCCTTTAAACTATTTTGTATACCAGTTTAAAGCTATATAGATGACAATAAACCTGACTAACAGTAAAATTAACTCCCATTTATTTTAAAATATTTTCATTCATCTTCTATGGGAAAAAATTGAACTGTCAATATTACTTAGCATCTTTCCTAAGTGCTTTGGAGCTTCTATTTCCTCATTTTGACCAGTTCATATTCTGAGAAGACACAGTTATCTTAATATTAGCTTTAACAAAATTTAGACTTAACTTGCTATTGTTCAATTATTTTCCTTTAGCTACAAGCTCTTTTCCTCACTTTGAACTTAAACCATTTATATGTCAAAATCTATTTCCTCAACTCCACCAATCTATATAATCCTTAAAATCTATGGGATCTTTAGTTTCTCCTTATTTGAATTTTCTATTGTATTTGACAAAACTCTCTCCATCTTTCTTGTGTATATTCTGTAATTCATCTCCTCTCTATTTACATTGCTACATCAGATACCCACAGCTTCTTTATACTACTGAAAAAAAACCCAACAGTATTAATCAGTTGCCACTGCCCCAAATACACTATAACTAAATCATCTTTCAAGATCTTTTATCTTTGATCACTGTACTCCACTGCTTACAATCACCCAACTACTTGTAAATTCTAAATTTTGGAGGAATGGGGTGGGGAGGGGAGTACTAGGAATTGAACTCAGGGGCAATCAAACACTGAGGCACATCCCCAGCCCTTTCTTGTATTTTATTTAGAGACAGGGTCTCACTGAGTTGCTTAGTATCTCCCCATTGCTGAGACTAGTTTTGAACTTGGGATCCTACTGCCTCTGCCTCCCCAGCCGCTGGGATTACAGGCCTGCGCCACCGCCACCAGCTTCTCTCTAAATTCTTAGCATAATTTATAAGAACCTTTATGATCTGGTCTTTGCCAAACCTCATGCTTTAATCTCTGGCCAACACCCCAAAGCATCATGTGCACTGAGCTTTGCTGCTTCCAAATGGCGTCATGCTTTTCCACAGCAGATTATAACGTTGCCTTCCTTTGGAATATCATCTGATGACTTTCACTCATTCTTTGATACTAAGCTAAAACGCCATCTTTGAAAAAAATATACCTCTTCTTTTAATTCACTCCCTATCAACTCCAGAAGCGTTCCTAAGATTTAACAGTGAACACAATGGAGTGATTTTATTTCAGTGATTACTTTGTATCATCAAAATCATTTCTTTTTTTTTTTTTTGAAATACACACAGGTATACAAATATATATGGTTCAGTTATTCATTATAATCAGAAAATAATTCTCTAGTTGTATTTAATCCCTGCTGGTTGTTTTACAAAACATCACCAGAGATGAAATCTCTCCTATTTGGGGAATTCGAAGTTCAAGATATTTATGTAAGGGTTTCTTTATCCATTAGTTACAATATGCTAAGGAGTTGGCACCTGTCTGGCAATTAAATGTAACCAGCTAAGACAACTTAAAAAGCAGGCTGAAATTTTCTGTCCAAATACAAAGCCCTCTTTTCCCGGCACCACGGGGACCAGAGCCTGGTTCAGCTAGGTTTGGTTTCTCGGCTAATAATTTGCTTCCCTCTCATCCCTGCCCCTGAGATAACGCTTGCGAGGTACTGAAGATTTTCTGTGGAAGTTACCACGCAGAGTTTAACATCTGGGAACCCAGAAGACGCGAGGGTAAAGGGCGTGCCGAAAGCGGGACTCAGAGAACCACCAGGGAGGGGTCGCGCGAGAGGGGGTGGGGGGGAAGAGGCGGAGCCGCCCGCGCACCCGCCGCACCTGCTCGGCACACGTGACGCCCGCGATGCCGCCGCCCACCACCACGAACTTGCCAGTCCTCACGGGAGGGCACGCTGCCTCCATGTCCTCGAACTGTCAAGGATTTCCTGAAGATAGTAAGGGAACTTTGGGAATTCGCGTTCCCGGAAAGGAAGCCTCTGTCGGCACTCACTTCCGGCCCCTGATTTGGAGAGTCTGACCTACGGGTGCCTGGAAGTTCATACTTGCTCTTGGTGCGTATCTGCCGCTGGTCGCGCTTTAGAAGCAACAGGACATCACGTGGTTTCCAGAGTTTAGTGTTACTTTTACTACTCCTGAATTTAGTTTTTCCACAAAGGTTCGATAAAGAGAAGATTAAAAAAGAAAGAAGATTGGTTTCTGTCGCCGAAAGATGAATTGCTTTGAAGTTGTCATTATTCTTTTTCTGCAAGAACTGATGGAGGCTCCCATTTTAAACTCAGTGAGAGGAGGAGCCTTTGCGTATCCACATGCTAGCCCACAGCTCACCTTTTGTAGATGAAGAAACTGAAGCATTTGAGGAAACTTTAGGTGCCACCCATCACCTAACAACCGAAGGTTTTTTTGTGGAAGCACAAACATTCTTCATGACAAGGCAATGCAATACTATTGAATTGTTCTCTAAGAAGTTAGCATTTCCATTTTCAATTTTTAGTGCAGTTAAAAATTCCAGTAATATATAGTATTGTTTGTTATCTGGTCCAAAAATGAACGTTTCTTTCAGGTTCCAATAAATAATAGAATGTGTGAGTGCTGAAAGTAACAATATCTTGTTTTTACCATTAACACCATTTTTGTGGTGTTCATTTGAGAAATGGCTGTTATTTTAAACTACTTTTACCATACAGTATTTTCTTTATTCACTACTATTTATTTGTTACCTTTCTAGTCTTGTGTAATATTACCAGATAAGTTATGTTGTATCATTAAGATACTATTTCTCCAATGGCTAATTGTAAAACTGATGCCCTTTAATTCTTTAAACTATTAAGAATAACCATTTTATATATCAGGAAAACCTATTGTCTATAATTACAGATATTTACTGATACCCATAATAGTCACTGTGCTTCAGTTTACTAAGTTAAATAGTAAGCAGTTGGATATGTGATTCCAGTTTTTATTTCTTGTTTAATTAAAACATTTTCAGAAGGAAATAGTATTTTAAGCCCATTTACATTGAGTCTCACTTCTCCAGCTTATTTTCACATGAGATTYTGTGTTCCCTTTAGATTGAACTACATTTTCATTTTCCAAGATAAGCCATTTTCTTTCTTCAGGAAGAGTTTCTTGAGGAAAGCATGTACACTTTCCTCAACTACTTTCCCCTAGCTAATTCCTCATTGACTTTGGTTTCATCATTATAGGGTATTGATTTAATGTTGGAACCCCCATCTTAAATGTCAACTGCCRTCTTATGAGGAAAGTTTTGCTTTTCTGTAATTCCTCTTACCCAAATTCCCCCCACTTCATTAGTGACCTACCCCATGATAACCCTAAGCCAATCCCAAAAGGACAGGACCCCTTTGCTGTGGAAAGCCCCGTGGTGCCATAGACCTAAGCCAATCCCATGTTATTCTCCACATACCTACCTCTGACACAAGCACCACCAAGCCTATCCGATAGCACCACAACTACAACTCTAAACTGCTACCCCACAAAAGCTGAATACCCAAACATCTCAGGGCCTCTCTCTCCTATGCAGAGATGGCTTTTATTTGTCAACTCTGACAAACTCTCTTGTATATATCTGCCTTTTCTCCATCCTTAATTTCTCATGTACCTGTTTCTTGTTTCTCACTTTTCCTTCAATCATGCCATCACTTTCCCTAAGTAATTGTATTTAATATCCTCAAGATTGAACTAGTTGTCCTCTCTATGTATTCCAATAGCACTTTGTCATTCCCCTCATCTAGACTTACATTTTAACTATCTACTACCCAACCCCCCCACCACCATAAACTCCTTAATCTCAGGGATCAGTCCCCCTCCCCCTTGTTCAGTTAGTAATGGTGTTGAACAAGAATGTGATGAATAAATTAGGAAGTGGATGGAGCATAAGATTGCCCTGAAGTCCTCCTGAAGACTTTTAAATTCATTATCCAGGGATAAGTTCCTCCTGTATGTTATAGCTTTCCCCCTCTTTATGGAGTTCAGACACTGGAATCCAAGCTTCCAGAGAAAATGGAGGGAGACAGGTGAAGATGAGAAGGAAGCAAAACAGTAGGAAACTCTTCTCACAAAGGCAAATGGAAGGTGAGCCCACACTCTCTTTTCCTCTTTCTATTTTGATGACTGGCCTTCCTTAGAAAGGTGTAGTGATAAAATATGCCTCCGAAATTGGCCTTAACTTTTAGAAATTTCTGCTACAAACTTTAGGGAAGAGCCTTAAGAAAAGGCTCATAGTGTGTCTCACCTTAGTGTTCATTTCATTGTAAAGGTAGGTTGGATGTGGGATGGGTTAAAAGTGAGATTTACATAGCTTTGAAACATGAAATCTTCAGGGAGGGCAGCAATAGGGGTCTTTGAGGGGTAGGGCAAGGGGTGAACACAGAGAAAACTGGGTTCCAAGAAATATGAGAGACTTAGTGCTGAGAAGCATTAGAGGAGCAGAAAAGATGGAATATCAGTTTCCTTTTAACTCCTGGCTGGTAGCTTAGGAGTGAAGGACACATGAACTGGTGACTGTTTCTGAGGAGTCAAATAAGACCAATGTGTTGCTGAGAATTATGGTGTATAATTAGTGGTGGRAAAGAATAGTGGGAGGAGTTGACAAGGAAAGCTTCATAGAACAGGTGGAACTTACTCTGAACCTCAAAGGCCCAGTAGCAATTGGATACCATAAGAGCAGTGTGGCAAACCAGATAAGAAATCTCAAGGACCAAAGGCTTGCTGGAGGAAATGAGCATGGGAAATACAGGAGATGGTAGAAGTTAGTAAGAGAGTTAGGGAGTTCAGAATTCATCTGGGAAAACTGAGGGAAAGAAAGCTATTTTACTTCTTCTGTTATCTTCCTTAATTTGCTTAGATATAGTCTCACATCTTCTCCTGATAGTTATCCCTACCTTTGAAAGTACTAGATCAAAACCTAACTTCCCATTCTTTTCTAAGTTGGCTTCAGAAATGTTTAAGAGTATTTAACTTATTCAGCTAGTTGATTGAAAATTGAAAAAGAACTATGAAATTTCATAAAGTTGTTAATGATTTATAGTTAAGGATTTACAGCTTTTGAGATGTATGACCTGGGTTCCAATCAGACTCCAGGTGTTCTGTGTTATATGACCATTCAGTGAGTTGCCCCATTTGAGTTTATTAGGACCTAGAGCTTTTCCATCATTCTCTCATAATTAAAAAGTCCCGTGATACCTATTCTCAAAACCCAGACTCTCAGGCAATTTAAACTTTACCTAACTACAAAGAGGGAAGGTTTATTTCTCTTCACTTTCTTCTCAAAGCTTTTCTTGCCACCAGAGTCATAGGCCAGAAACCTGACTTTGGGGATCCAGTAAATCAGGTTTAACCACTCACCCTAAAAACTAAACAGAAGAGGTAATAGTGAAAAACACAAAGGGAACCCTTCAGAGTTCTTGATCCATAGGGTCCCATTGCCTTCCCTGAGTAGTAACACTGAATAAAATTCCTTTTGTACCTTTACCATTACCATTTCTGTTGGTTTTAGGAGCAAGTGACCAGACCTGATTTACTAGATCCCCAGAGTGAGGCCCTAGGACTGTAGTAGCAGCTTTGTAGTAGCAGAGTGGCCTAGGACTGTAGTAGCAGCTTTGGTGAGCCCAGCAAGGAGAAAGCGTGCAGTTTGTTCATTAGCCACTTGGAGCTAACAGCCCCGGAATGAAGAGGACAGAAAAAGAGGGATCAGTGCAGCTACTAAAATTACATTCAGTGGGGGGGGGTCTCTCCATTTCTTCCCACTTAGGATGGATGCTTTTTACTTGGTGAAGCAGAAAAATGAACTTTTGAACTCTATGGGCCCTGAAGTCTGACCTCTGGTAAGTTCTCCCTGACAGTGTACATTGGGTCTTGTCCTTCTTTTTCCTTGTCCTTTGAGATATTTTGAGCAATTTGGTTTATTTTGAACCAATTTGGGAAGAAGGGGCACTTTTGAGAAAATTTGGGTTGTTTTGAACCAATTTGGGCTTATGCCTTTTGTCTGACCGGGAAGTTTGGAATCTAACTTTGCCATGCCTATTGAAAGGAACACACACAAACCTGGTTAGTTTTGGGAGATCTCTGTTGTGA